ATGATTGCGCCCATTACGCCGCACATGTTACATATTTCCGCGAACGTCGCAGTGAGAGCAATAATTTTAGGGCCATCAATCACTGATGACACTAAACTGATGAGCGTTAAAAGCTTTTAAAGCGTCGCCTACGGTCAATTTTGGGTATTGAAGTTTTTTGCGATTTCGCAGGTGCGCGCAATTTTTAAGCATGACATGTTTGATGTCTATTTACCCGACGTGACCCGATCTTTTATATTTTACCAAAAAAATTGGGTAATAATAATTGTTTCCTAACAATGTAAAAAACACTTTAAAAAAAATTTCAGTACATTTTCTGAAATATAGAAAAAATAACACCCCCAGTGGTGATTAAATACCACCATAAGAAAGCTCTATCTGTCCCCCAAAAAATGGTATAAAATTAATTTCAGTACAGCGTTGCATGACGGAATAAATGTCAAAGGACAGCAGCGCTGAATACTGAAAAATGGCCTGGCCAGGAAGGGGGTCTAAACACCTGGTCTTCAAGTGGTTAAAGACCATGGCAGTACATGCAAAATAGGGTTTTTTAGGAAACTAGAAATTCCTGCGGCAGGAATCCCAAATATGTTGTTTAGAAGTAGCAGCTGTCACCTGTTGAAGTTAATGATCGTATCGCATACGATTACATGCAGGGTGCAGGCGGACTGCAGCTATCAAATGCGGTCGATGTCACCCGATCATTAACTTGAACGGGTGACAGCTGCTGCTTTTGTACGGCATATTTTTGATTCCTGCCACAGGAATTCCTAAATGCACATTAGCAGCTAGTGTGAATGTAGCTTTAGTGATAATATTATGGTGCAGTTTAAAATAAAAACAAACACGGAAGCAGACATTTTTTGGCTGCTGTGAGGAACACAGTTCCTGTGCTACAATAAATATATATTATACAGCTACGTAGGAAGGATTCAGAAAGGGCACTTCCTGTCTACCAGTATTTAGTTATTAATGTAAATGTCATAAGACCACAGGGAATCAGTAGATTTTAGGCCTCACTGGTGTCTAGTTGATAATGACTCTGTAATCTTTCAACAAAATTACATTTTCTTGAAAATAAGTCCATTATTCTAAAGGGCTGTCTTTATTTTTGTGTGCAGTTCATTTCAAAAGGGCTTCTATTGATTCAATTATTAAAAAGTACATGCTAACCCTAACAATGACATTTTAACTGGCCCATACATCGGAATTTAATTTAAAAAAAATGTTTTGTAACATTCTTTTGATTTTCTAATAGTAAATGGGGTCAAAGTAATCTTTTTTGACCATAGTAACAAAGACGAAACCAAAAAAACAAGGAGCAGAATTAAAATCTCTCTCATAAGAATGACATTTTAAATGTAAAAATGTTTGAAATGCTGTCCCACATTCATGTCTTCAGTGCCCTGGAGACTACCTCTTAAAAAAATAATTCAGCAATGGCATATTTCTCTCCCCATTTGTTCACTTTAAAGTAGCTGTGTGGGCAGTTCTGACAGGTTCTACGTGAGACAGAGAATATAGCAAGTATCAAAAATCGTCACCAACTACAACTGAGCAGCACAAGGGCACTCCTCTTCTGCTAAAAAATGTTTCACAGCATTCATGTTGGCTATTGTTTTTAATAAGGCTTTCTACTTCTGGGGTACTCTTAAAGTGACATTAAAGCCCAAAAATGTTTCCCCTCCCCCCAATGTTTAATTAAAGCACTTACCTTAAATGATGTCTCTAGATCCGATCTAGATCCGATCTTCTTTCCTGTCGTTTTCAGCCTTCTCTCCAGCGCTGCGGCGGGTCCCCAATCCAGCGCTGACTCCTCTGTCCTTGCTGGCACTTCCTGTCCCACGGTGTCTGCATGCGGGTGCACACGTTCATATACTTACTTTGCGTCTCTCCTCGTCTCCCGGCCAAAAATCCGAACTGCACATGCCGCCCGAGCAGTTTCACATTTTCAGACGGGAGCATGCGGGAAAGAGACAGGTAAGTTTAAACCGCTTTGAAAGCCTTTTTTTTTTTTTTTACTTTTTGCATATGACTACTGATTGCTAGCAGTAGAAATATGCAAAAAAAACCGTGAGGGTTTAGAAACCCTTTGAGCCTGTGAGAGAGGCGTAATTGCTTAAAATACAGTATTTCATATAATTTCTAGAACAGAGTCCTTACTGAGAACACTCGTCGTCCACTGGAGGGCACTGTGAACCAATGTCTTACATAGCAAATGGCACAAATATTTATATGAATAATGAACTGAAAAGTTATAAATCGCTTCCACAATTGAGAGGATCATGTGCTGAATGTTTCTTTCATTTAGCATTACTAACTGTAAAATCTCCATGGCGTAAAGATGTGTATAATTGTTTAGGCTAATCAGAGTTTCTTTAGTGCTATGTTTGTGCTGTTCTGTGCCATAAAAATGAACAATTGTGCTGCTTTTACTTTTAAGATAAATAGCAAATGTTCTTTTTTTTTTTTTTAAGATGACGACATCACCCAGCCCCCCACAACAGCAAAAAGACTTGAAACTGAGCTGGTTGGTTAGTGCCACTTTTCCGACTATCTAAAAGATAAAACTGTATTGAGTTAATAAATAAATATATATTCGTAAATTTAAATTGCGCCTTCGTGCAAAACAATATAAAAATGAACGAACGCAAAACTGTAAATAAGCAACTTATGTTAAAAATAATTTGCACTGCAGCGCATGGCGTACACCACAATATGGTGCTAACTGTTGCAAGTGTGGGGATTTTTATGTTAATAGCGGTCATCTGTGGCTTTTCAGCCTCTGATGACAGCTAACAATTTACAGGGGGCCCTCAGGAGAACCATTCTGATATATGTACATGGCCATGCGCTTAGAGCAGAAGGCTGAAAACCAGCGACGTATGGCATACTGACGTGGCTACCTGCAAGCAGTTGTGTTCTGATGCAAGCCTTACATCGGTGGCAGCGAAAGGGTTAAATGGCACAAACACGGCACTATCCAACCAGCCTGGTTTTAGATTTTTCGGCTGTTGTAGGGGGGCTGGGTGACCTTTGGTCACTTTCATTAAACCAATAGTAACTCAAAAACAAAAAAAAGGAGATAGAAGCAGAGATTTAAACAGCACAAAACGTGGCACTAACCAACCAGCCTGGTTTCCTTTATTTTGCCGTTGTAGGGGGACTGGAAAAAAACAATGCTAGTATCTTAAACATAAAAGTAGCACAAATTTTAATTTTTACGGCACAAGAAAGCCCAAACATAGCACTAACTATATATATATATATTTTTTTCCAGATACAACAACATGGGGTGCAAACTGGGTGGGATTTGGTCAAATAAAAACAAACTGTTATAAAACCATTAAAAAGAGAAAAAAAAAAAAAGCAAAAAACAGCACAAATAAAAACTTTAGCAGCACAAACCCAGCACTAACAAACGAGCCCAGTTTGATGTCTTTTGGCTGTTGTAGGGGTGCTGGGTGACCTTTAATAGTTAATAACTAAAACAAAAAGGAGATAGCATGGAGATTTAAACGGCACAAACGTGGCACTAACCAACCAGCCCAGTTTCAGGTCTTTTTGCTGTTGTAGGGGGGCTGGGTGATATCTTAAAAAAAACAATTGCCATTACCTTAAAAATAAAAGCAGCACAAGCGTTAATTTTTATGGCAGAAAACAGCACAAACTTAGCACTAAAACACACTTGATTTATTTGTGCCGATTGTAGGGGAGCCAGCTTTGCTGAGCTCAATATGATAGTTCCAACTTCAGCTTAATTTGTGGCTAACTATATTTTTACAGGCCTCCATTTCCCAGGATCACTGTCCTTTATGCATTTTTATCTGTAATATCTAAAATGTTCCATGTTCCACAGAGAAAGTGAATCACGCTTCAACTGTGATACACATGTGTAATGTATCTGTACTTTGAGTCTGTTATGCAACCTTTTATCTAATATACAACACTGTGAAATACACTATATTGCCAAAAGTATTGGGACGCCTGCCTTTACACGCACATGAACTTTAAAGGCTTCCCAATCCTAGTTCGTAGTGTTCAATATTGAGTTGGCCCACCCTTTGGCGCTATAACAGCTTTGACTCTTCTGGGAAGGCTGTCCACAAGGTTTAGAAGTGTGTCTATGGGAATGTTTGATCATTCTTCCAGAAGCGTATTTGCGAGGTCAGGTACTGATGTTGGACAAGAAGGCCTGGCTAGCAGTCTCTGCTCTAATTCATCCCAAAGGTGTTCCATCGGGTTGAGGTCAGGACTCTGTGCAGGCCAGTCAAGTTCTTCCACCCCAAACTCGCTCATCCATGTCTTTATGGACCTTGCTTTGTGTACTCGTGCGCAGTCATGTTGGAACAGGAAGAGGCCATCCCCAAACTGTTCCAACAAAGTTGGGAGCATGAAATTGTCCAAAATGTCTTTGCATGCTGATGCCTTAAGAGTTCCCTTCACTGGAACTAAGGGACCAAGCCCAACCCCTGAAAAAACAACCCCACACCATAATCCCCCCTCCACCAAACTTTACACTTGCCACAATGCAGTCAGGCAAGTACCGTTCTCCTGGCAACCGCCAAACCCAGACAAGTCCATCGGATTGCCAGACAGAGAAGCGTGATTCGTCACTCCAGAGAACACGTCTCCACTTTTCTAGAGTCCAGTGGCGGCGTGCTTTACACCACTGCATCGGACGCTTTGCATTGCACTTGGTGGTGTAAGACTTGGATGCAGCTGCTCAGCCATGGAAACCCATTCCATGAAGCTCTCTACGCACTGTTGTTGTGCCAATCTGAAGGCCACACGAAGTTTGGAGGTCTGTAGCTATTGACTCTGCAGACAGTTGGCAACTTCTTTGCACTGTGCGCTTCAGCATGCACTGATCTTTATGAAAAACATTTTTTACGCTGAGTTATAAAACACTATGCAAACTTAACTAACACCCTTTACACATAAACCTCAACATTATGAGTTAGTCTTTCAAGAAACAGGCACAGTTTGCTGAGATATACAAATTCTACCTCTTTGCTGCCAGGGGGCAGAAGGCCGACTCCAGACAGGTCCAGATCACTAATGGTTGTCACAGTTACAGTGTGATTCGGGTGATCATACAGGAAAGACTCCGTTTTAGCAGTCACCAGTCTCTCTATTTCATCAATTTCCTCTAGGGGAAAACAAAAAAATTAATCATAAAAAAGCTAGATATATCACTGAACAAACATACATACGGGCAATATATGTTGGTGTCGAAGAGTAAGTACAAAATCATTAAAATTCGTGGTTCGGCACATGGGTAAATCTGAGACCATTTTAACGGTACATTGGGGAGACAAAACTACCTCTCAAGTAATGGATGGCCCAGCATATGAGAATTAACTCTACATGTCAAGACTCTGCAGTCTTTATGCACCTTAAAGAGACCCTGTCACCAACTTAAAAAAAAATTCTAGCAAAAGCACAGAAAAATCATGTAATTTATTTTTAGTCAAAGTAATTATTCATTGAGGAAAAAAAAAAAAGAAAAGGAGAACCATCTACAGCCATGGTTCTCAACTGCGGGGTCAGTGGGTCGTACCTTCCACTGCGCTAGGCAAGAGGCTCCTCATCCTCCCCCTAGTGCAGTACTGTCAGTTCTCGCACCGAGAAGCCATTCAAAATATGCTGTCTGGCAGAGAGTGTCAGCATGGGGTGGGGTGGGCTGGAGGTATGGCCACGAGGGAGCTCCATCCATACGTGCATTGCTTACAGCTCCCTCAATTGCGGTGCAATGCCTCTGTGAGATGTGACTCTTAATAATTATAAAACAGCTGACATCAATAAACAGACATGTTCTTCACTTCAATATGGTGTGCTGGTGACATCTTTAACAAGTTAATGTTGTAATGGAGACAATGATTGGAGGTTATGTAAAGTTTACTGTATACAGGTAAAAAAAAAAAAAAAAAGAGAGGCTCAGGAGGACAACTGAAAACAGCAGCAGTATAGAGAATGACAGAGTTACTTAGAATTTTTTGGTCAACCAAGGGTTCCACATTTTCTCAAAATTAGTTGGATATCCTCTGAGTGTAAATGAGCTTTTTTAAAAAGGGTAAGGTCTTGTGTAAGAGCTTAACCCACTGCACTGCCCAGGGGTGGCTGGGGACATCCAATTAAAAACCACCACCTTTCTGGCTTGGGATAGAAGTTCATGCATTAATATGAGTGAAGCTGAGGGTAGTGTTAAGTCCTGCAGGATTCCCAATTCACAAGGAGGAGGACCGGGCACTATAAGGCATGGATGGATTGAGGACTAAGAACGCATTTAAAATGGAGCAACTCCATATCAAGTGGAAGAAAGAAGCTCATATTGTGTGACATTTAGGGCAATTTGAGGAGGCTGTGCAAGAGAGAATTTTGCTAGTTAATACGCCTGGTAACAACAAAGGTTTTAATTTGGCGCTCTTGAACAAAGAGATAGCTAAAAAGGGCACTTCAATAAGCCCTCCCTCTCCTCTATTTCCAGGTCTAGAAGATCACCCAACGAAGTCTAACAGATCTGTGCACATTAATTTTAGCCTTAGCACCCACTAATCATCAATAAAAGTCTGCAATTACACCCCCCTTTAAAACAGGATTGTAGTAATGGGTATTGACTTAACTAGGGAATGTTTTGTTGGGTGAGTATTGCATATCATGTCTAAGCTGCAAGAGGATGAAAAAGTAGTCTCAGGACAAGAGAGAAGCACAATTTGATAAAGCTTAAAGTGTATCTTCACTTTTGCAGCCAAACTCCAACTTACTTTATATTTCTTATATGTTCTCATTCATGCAGCATAACTTGCTGTTCACATACTACTTGCTCTATTCTGAAAGAAATGTTTTCTCTAAATTTAATTTTCCTATGGTATGCAAGAGGGCTGGGGAGGTTACCATATGTGGATGTTTACCATAATTAATCCTGTCAGAACTGTGTTGAAAAATCTCAGTTGTAAACTAGATCGGAACACTGTCTGTCCTAACAATGGGTTAAAGATTTAGAGGCATTTGGGGGGCAATTAATCAAAACTGGAGCAGATTTGCACTGCAACCAATTAGCTTCTATAATATCTCTTATTTTCAAATCCCAACTGAGCAATCTTAAGAGATATGCTGATTGGTTGCCATGGGCAACTGCTCCAGTTTTGATAAATTCCCCTAAGGAGGAAGCTCAGTGTCCCTATTCTTTCTATGGGGACAGCCATAGTTTCATGTCACTTTAAAATGGTAGAAGCAAGCTAGCAGTCTGACCACCGGCCTGCCACACAGACATCTAAAAAGTAAAAATATTTTAAAACATTTTTTTAGATGTTGTGTGAAAAAGGAACAGACACAGTGGAGCTTTCTCAGGTTTGACTGCATATGTATAAATATACTTTAAGGGCACCTTCAGTAATACATTTGACTTCTTGGCTTTGTACATGGCAGTATCTGGTAGCTTACGTATCTAAGGCAGTGCTGTAATTATACATATACACACACACACACACACACACACACACACACACACACACACACATTATATACATATTCATACACACATATATACATATTCATACACACATATATACAAACAGTGAAAGGCATTAAGGGTTTACCATATTTCCCTTTAAGAACCTCATATAATAACAGCTTGGTTGTATGTGAGGAGGTAAAGCCCAGCAGCTGGGCATTATGTGTACAGTTCTTTCCAAACAAGCGGACTGCCTGGGAAAGTTGCAGTGCCATGTAATATTTATGCAAGCAGGGCAGAGCCAGGTCCTCGAGTGACCCAGTTTGTTTGGAGCATTTAGGCTGGGTTCACACCTGGGCGTTTTTCAGCGCTGATCGAAGCGCTGAAATACGCTCAAGCAGTGAAATCCCATAATTTCCTATGGGCATGGTTCCCTCCTGGCCATATTTTAAGGGAGTTACACCAGTTATGGCAAAGTTTAGATGGGTCACTGAGGTAAGTGGCTTCAACAGCCAAAGTACACATATGATTCTGTTATTGCCTCTCAATGTGTGAAGCGTTGCAAGTCAGTATACCACAGGAAAATGCTTATAGGAGTCCCACACTTTTTATAAGTCTGTAGAATAAGATTTTTAAAAAATGTCCACATAATTGCAAGATCTATGTCTGGTGGAAATAAAAATTGTGAACAGAGGACCTGGTGGCAGCCTTTGGGATACCAAAGCCTGATGCTGAAATGCTCAAGCAGCACAAATGCTTCTGGAAGAGTGAGCCATGACCGTAAAGGGGGGAACTTTACTTCAGCTGATAGGCCTGCAGGATAGTCTGACAAATCCACCTAGCTATTGGGTAACAAGAAGCATGCTGCCCCATACAGGGAAATGATGACGAGGGAGTCAGACTTGGGGATGGAAGTTGTAGCAGAGAATAAGACCCAGAAACCACGTCCAAACAGTGGAGACTTGAGGATTTGTTGATGCAGCACATAAGGATGGTAAAACCATGTCCTGGCGAAGGAGAAAGTCAAAAACCACCTTATGAAGAACCTTAGGGCTCAGTACTGGCTTATCTTTGTGGATGGCCAGAAAAGGTTCTTAAAGAATTAAGATGGACAACTCAGAAATACGTCTGGCAGAAGTTATGGAGTTAAGGAAGGCAGCCTCTTGAGTGAGTAGGGTCAGGGGAGAGGTTCAAAAGGGTGGCTTCTGCAGAGTCAACAGAATTAGTATGGATGGACCTTCAGGACTTGGGCTTCAACAACCATTAAAGCCAGCGACCGAGAAGCAGGGTGGAAAGTCCTTCCTTGGGATGGGAGGTCTGGACGATCTGGAAGTCCAGTCTACCAGGAGGTGACTACATCCGTGTACCAGGGATCCCTGAGCCTGGTGACAAACCTGGTCAGTTTGTTGGTGAACATAGACACCAGTGAGTCCACAGCCTCCAATGCCATATGGGATTATTTGGAGAAAGAAAACAAACTATCTTAAATGAAGAATATGATCACCTGACACTTTTTAGGGACATTTTCAGAATTTGTATTCCTGGGGATGGAGAAATAAATTTCCAATACACGAAATTTCTCAGAGTTGCAACCAAGGGCATCATAGCAGCCTCAGTAACCGTACACAAATTTTAAGCTCATGAGGAGAGTCAATCTTAAACATAGACCAAAAGGACATGCCAAATAGTATAGATGGAAGTTAAGGAAGGCCAAGCCGGCTTGGCATAAAAGGAAGTTGTAACATCTCCAAAGAGACACGTGGTTGTTTCCGAGACCATAACAAGTAGATACAAATAGAATGAATGCGTTTGAAAAACTATTTCAGGATATAAACTGGGGCATTCAAAAAAAATATTTAAAAATTTAGATTACAAAAATTATGTTTATTAGATTGGCCCTGCCCATCAGATTTATTGGAAGACACCCAGCTTTTAGTCTTTATCAGAGAGATTTTTAAAACAGCAGAAAGATTATCCAAAAAGTAGATACAGGGAGCTGAACCACAATACCCAGATATTTAAATGTGTGAGCAATGCGAAGTTGAGAGGATGGATGAATATGAGACACTGTGTCAGAGTCTAAGTCAGGTGTCTCAAACTCAATTTAGTTGGGGGCCACTGGACAAATTTTTTAGTCCCGTGGGGGCCGCTACTATATACAGTACCAGTTTTAATGTCTGCACATGTTACAAGCGGCAAGTGCAGCCTAACAAGGAATGCACACTCCTCCAGATTTACATCCACCTATCAAAGTAATTTGACATTTGCATAAATTATCTCAAGAGCAAAGCCCCGTGTCTGCATCAGGGATGAGGACTCCTAAGAGGAGTACTGAGGGTGGTGTGATGTTTTCGGGAAACTATGTACAGCACCCCGCTAGCCCCACCCAATAGCTATTGGTCTACATTGCAGAGTGAAGCACAAATATCTACTGAAATCAGATGATCTCATCTTGTCAGACGGTTAAGTTCGGTTACATAGCCATGCTAACCAATACCACTCCATTACCAGCACTATAATGCTACACAGCCTCAGGGGCTGTATAGTGAAGTTTTGAAGTGCCAGGTCCATTGCAACAGTGGCAGCAGAAGGTTTTTTATGCAAGCAGCCAACTGCCTGAGGGACCAGGGTGGAAATTAGTTTGCCTAGACATTTTTTGTGAAAAGGTGAAGAAACCCTTTAAATATATGGCACTTGCCTTACATTGTGTTGGTAACACAATGACACATGTAAGAATTTTCTTAAAGGGTTGAACAGCTCTTTTACTTACCTCTCTAGCTTCTCGTGTCTTCTACCATTCCTCTGGTCCAGAGCTGAAGCCTCTAAAATTATTTAGCATTTGACTCTTCCAGGACTGTCAGATCCCTGTGGCCACCATTGCATGATATGGTTCCATCCTCTGTCCCAAGTCCCAACAGGACGTGGCAGAGGAGGAGGGAGATGTGGGGTGTTCTAACACCAGTAACTTTGGTAAAAAAAATAATACTTCTAGGCTGATAAAATCTATCATGAGCGAAAAAATTACCACATGCTCAAGGATTTCTTTAAGCATACTAACCATTAAACATTAGCATGCTGTATGATGTAATTTTAGTTTTGGTCTATGGCTCTCTTTAAAGGAGAACTATGGGGTCAGTGTTTTTCCCCATAGTTCTACTCGGGGTAACGGGAGGACACTAAGCTCAGTATACCGCGAGCTACAGCTCACGGTATACTGAGACGCCGCACCTGGAGCGGATCCCGACTTAGATGACGGGATCCGCCCAGCTGCGTGAGTGACAGCTGGCTCTGCCTATCTAGAGGCAGAGCCAGCTGTACCCGCCCCCTCCCCCGTCCGTTTCGCCAGTCAGCGCTGGCAGATCGGAGCGGGGAGAGGGGAATCCAGCCCCTCCCCCTGTCACGGCAGAGAGCCGTGACAGGATCGAGAGGTGAGGGAACCCGGTATGTTTTCCCTCACCTCCCGATCTACTGAGCCGACCTGTGACAGTCTCATTGTCACAGGTCGGCTTAGAACTATGACGTGAGTGGAAATCACTCATGTCATAGTTCTCCTTTAACAATGTACTTTACCCTTTAACACATTTATACTCTGCATTACAATTGAACAAACGTCTAAAATAAAACAGTTGATTTGTCTTACCTAAAGCTTCTTCTCTTTCCTTAAGCATCTTCATGTATTCTTTGTGCCTCTGTCAGAGAAGAAAAGTATCTAAGCAACAGTTGCAGGAATAGGAATCTTAAGGTTCTGTGGACTTGTTAGTTTCAAAAAAATATGGGACTGCTTGAAAGTCTCAAATCTTACAGCTGCATGTTTTTATCAAAGGGCTTTTTCCCAATTTAAACAACACATGGATTTTGTATTTATTTTTTCAGACCCTGCCATTTACAAACAATATGAAAGTGCACTCCACACAACTCTCCTAAGCAAAAGGATGATACCTGTATAAGGATAGCTTAATCATCATAAAAATTGTCTGAGAAACCTTAGATAGAAGCTGTCATTTCTTGACTTCTGAGCTGTGTATTAACTGCAAAACAGGTACATTGTTAGGGAAGCTTAGAAAATTCAGTTACACTGTGCTCGAACTAATATGTAGCCCAATCTTCAGGCACGTTTGTATTGCCACAGCCACAAACTTCTCCAATCCAACTAGTTCCCACTCCTCTTGTAGCATTCTCTATAATATAAATCAGGCCTCAAAATTTCCACTCGCCCCCTCGCAATTGGCGAGTGAAAATTGCAGGGGGGCGAGTGGAATCTCATCGAGGAGCGCCGCCGGCGGGATCAGAGATGGGACACTACCGCCGCGGCAATTGCTCGCTTCTGTTCTCTCTTCTCATCGGCCACTGTAGCTACAGAGCGGCCGATGAGAAGAGAGAACACAAGGGAACGATCACCGTGGCAGTAGTGTCCCATCTCTGGTCCCGCCGGCGGCGCACCTCGATGACATCCGCTGTCTTCTGCAGCTTCCTCCGCCCACCTCAGCTGCCAGGCTGGAAGGAAGACTGCAGAGACGGTGAGACCGGCCATCCAGAAAGTTAGCAGGGAAAAGAAGGTACATGGAGGATCTCTGCACCGACCTCCACCCCAACCCCCACCCCCAACGAGAAAGAAGAGGCACCTGAATACCAGCTAAGTGCACTGTAAGTCCCTTTTCTTTCTTCTCTGCGCTGTGCGTCACACTGACCTCTGCGCTGTGCGTCACTATGACCTCTGCGCTTCACACTGACCTGCCCTGTGCTTCACACTGACCTGCGCGTCACTATGACCTCTGCCCTGTGCTTCACACTGACCTGCCCTGTGCTTCACACTGACCTGCGCGTCACTATGACCTCTGCCCTGTGCTTCACACTGACCTGCCCTGTGCTTCACACTGACCTGCCCGTCACTATGACCTGTGCGTCACTATGACCCCTGCCCTGTGCTTCACACTGACCTGAAAAATTAACCCCTTGGGGTGAAATTCAAATTTGCAACTCAACTGCAGATTTTCATTGTAAAGGGTTAATTTGTATAGTTATATAAAAATCTATACATTTTTTAATTTGTTTTACACTTTATTTCAATTATATCAGTCATTGTGAGTGGATCTCACTATTAATGCTTGATAATGTAATTTTTTGGTTATTGAATCCAAATTAATTTACCACTAGGGGCTTTGAGAGGCATCAGACACAAGGTTTGTTGTAATATACAAGCTTAATTTATTTCATAAAATATATACAATTAAAAACAATATTCACATAATTAATTGCTCCCTTATTAGCCTCCTGCTGCCACATATGAACTATACAATGTGTTATAACATCTCATACATCAAGAAGTACAAAAAATTATGCTTTTTGTTCATGGATGGTTCCATGAACAATAAGTATAATTTTTTTGTACTGGTTCCATGAGCAATAAGTATAATTTTTGTATTTCTTGATGTACGAGATGTTAAAACACATTGTATAGTTCATATGTGGCAGCAAGAGGCTAATAAGGGAGCAATTATTTATTGTGAATATTGTTTTTAATTGTATATATTTTATGAAATAAATTAAGCTTGTATATTGCAACAAACATTGCGTCTGACGCCTCTCAAAACCCATAGTGTTAAATTATTTTGTATTCTATGATAGATTCATTAACGCCTCACCCCTCTGAGTACTATTAGCTCTTGGGATTTTGGTCGTACTGAATAATTTTTGGTTATTATTAGGCTGCTTCAAACATAGAAACAGTTAATAATACCATTGTGACAGATCCTGAAATGCTGATCTTGCAGCATTTCAGGATCAGATTTCACTAAAGACTTCTGGGAACGATCAGAAGTCTGATACAATGTTTCAACAAAGAAACATTTTGCTAAATGTTTCTGTTGCTGAAACATGTTGCAAAAAGCTGACACAGGATTTCCTAATCCCTATGTGTTCAGCTGTCAAACCGTGATCGTAAGTGCGGTAAATATCGCACAGCTATTACTGTAAGATACTCAATCGCTACAAGCGATCAGGTATCTGTCAAAGCTTAGTTCTTTAATTCAAAAAATTTAACTTTTACAAAAGCTTATTTCATTAATGGATGGTAACCGCTGACCTCAGCGGTTACCGACTTTTGACAGCTCCAAATAGCTAATCACGTAAATGTACGTGATCAGTCATTTGGGCACTTTGTGGCAGGGATGTACAGTGTAAGTCTCCCGTCACAAAGGAGTTAAAGCCCGTTCCCATCTTTGTAAGTGATTAGCATTTATTGTGGTAATGTAGAGGTGCAGCGGTTATGTATACATGTGTATATTTTCATGACTCACATTGCAGGTTTTCTACATTTTTTTTTTTTTTAAATAAACTTATTTGTTCTGAATCCTACAAAATTCAAAATTTTCTCCACAGGAAACTCAGTCCGACACCGGGGTCAGACTGTAAAGCAAGCTGTAAACAGCTGCCACCCTCCCTGTGCTTCTCTGTTACATGATCACTAAACACCAGCTCTGCCTTTGTATTTGCCACTCTAAATACTAAAGAATGGGGGATGGAGTGCTCAGTTGTAATATGCACACATTGCCTGCAGAGCACAGAGGCGGCCATGTCAATGAAGATATGAAGCGGAAAGCTAACAAAAAAAAAATGCAAGTTTCTGCATTCATATACAGCAACTGCATATGCCTGCTTCTTGTACACTCTGTGTACATTGCTGGCATTTTTTGGCGGGGAATATTTTTTTTTACATACATCTTACCTCTTCCTTCATCCTCTTTTGCTCCTCTTTTATTTTCAGTTTGATTTCTTCCACAGCAGCTTTTCTTCTTTGTAATTTTCTTTTGTGGAAACCAGTCAAATATTCTCTATAAGACAAGCATACTTATAATACCTTGGCATTCCATAAATATTTGATAAATTAACCTAACACAAAACTAGTAGTTTAGTTTTCTGTGGTTGCTGGCAAATTTAATCATACGCCAGTATTCATAAAATGTTCACAAATGTGCATAAATCAGACATCTGTTTTAACCCCTTCATGACAAAAGGTAAGAATAAACATTAATGCCTGAACCAAGGTTTGTAACTTTGGCAGGTGTTAGTAAACTGTACATATGTTTGAAACTACTTAGGGGATCCAGGTGAATGATACCTTGTTTTGTTCAGGACAAATTGGTTGGCAAATAGTAAAAAAACAAGAATTAAACTTGAGCTATGTGTTTTTTGCAATTACCATGACGCACAACTAAAGAACAAACTAAAATTAAGTTCTTCTCTGGATATGCATGGGTATACCACATATGTGTGCATTATTATAGGAGAAACATTACAGGGGAGGGTTCTAAAACTAGCGACCACTGTGATTAATATTATAGTAATCACATGATCGAGAGCCAATCCTCAGTCCAAGACCAGGAGATGTCCATGACGATTTAATTTTAAACAGATGACCAGGTGGCAGCCTTGCAAACCTGGGAAACAGTAAACAGCTGCTGAATAGCCCAAGTAGTACGCACTGATTTAGCAGGGTGTGCCGTGCCTTGAAATGAAAGGGTAGAAGCCAATCTTTGAGACCATAAGCTTGGCTAACAATCTGTCTGAGCCTCTGGGAAATGGTGGAATAAGAAGCTGGTTCACCATTACAGGGACCATCTAAAATGACAGTGCTGAGCAATATTCTCTCACTGCCCGAACCACATACAGAACTCCTAATGAACTGGAGCCGGAAAGACGGACAGAAGAACAAAGTCCAGATTGAATTGAAAGGCCCAAACTACCTTAGATAGGAATGACGTTCTGAGCCTCAATATCTCCTTGTCCAAGACCAGAAAGGGTGTTTTACAGAATAAGGCCACCAGTTCAGAGTCTCGTCTCGTAGAGGTGATGGCAAAAAGAAACATTGTGTGGTTGAGAATGGAAAGGGGAATAACCCTGATAGGTTCAAAGGTCTGTTTTTGATGAGCTGAAAGAACCAAATTCAGTACCCCAGAGTTACAGGGCAGTTAGCAGGGGCAGCCACATGGGAGACACCCTGCACAAAATTATTGATCAACAAATGAGAAGCTAACAGTCTCTGGAAAAAGATAGCAAGAACAGAGACCTGACACTTGATGGTACAGACCCAAATACTGGTTCAGACCCATCTGCAAAAATGCAAGGATTTATCCAATGGAGAATCTGCTGGGGTGGAAGTCCCACGTTTAACGAAGTATGCCTTCTATGTAAAGTGATAGATAGGGATGCACTGATACCATTTTTTCCAGACCAAGTATCGTACCAATCTTTTTCCTCAAGTACCTGCCGATACGAATTACTAATACGCTTTATTAGTGTCATGTGACCGTTTTTCTAGAATACAGACTAATGATTATAGGACAGTGGAAAAGTGTCAGGGTGCGGTCGCAGCTGCAAACCTGGTAGTTCTGCTACTAACTCCAAGTTGTAGAGGGACTACAAATCGCAGCTATAAATACAGAAATGCAGAATGGGACCGGCTATAGACTACAAATCCCAGCAATACATTATAAAGCAATGCAGAATAATACCATAAGCTATAGAGGACTACAAATCCCAGCAATACATTACACAGCAATGCCGAATGGCAACCAGCTAGAGAGGACTACAAATCCTAGCAATACATTATACAGCAATGCAGAATATGAATCAACATACTTTGTGCTGCTCCAGGGTGCCAGCCTGATGTCTCTAATGGAGGATCTCAGGAGGGCTGTGCGGGGTCTCACTGGGGGACCAGAGGTTCTCGCGGGCAGGTGTGGCTGGCGGGGTTCCCCAGAAAGGAGGTGTGCGGCCGGAGCTGTAAACTGGTGCCGCAAGGTCCCCAGCAAGCACGTATCAATTTAAAAAATAAAAGCGCTGGTATCTGCATTTAGTATGTGGGCATTTTCACAAGTACCCATAAATGCCCAGTATTCGCACTGGTATTAGTGCATACCTAGTGACCCATAGACCTTGCAAGAAGCTGACTTAATTGCTTAAGCATCAGAGGGATGGGTTACACCCCTCTGATACACCAGGAGTCTGAACTGATCAGACTCCTGGTGTAGGCTCTGAGTACCAAATCCACCTGGGCCAATTGGGAGCTATAAGGATCACTAGAATGTCCTTAATCTCGATCTTTCAAATTAATTGAGGAAGGAGTTTCAGGAGATGAAAGGCATAGATCAGGGTGTACTGATCCCACAGAGCCACCAGAACATATATATGCTATCTATGCTTCCGATAAGATGATGCCTGTACCTGAAGACAAACCTGTTCAGTTTGTTTTGGAACCTAGTGGCCAAAAGGTCAGCATCATGTATCCACCACCTGTGACACAGATCCTGGAACACCCCTGGGTGCAGAGACCATTCCCTAGGAGTCCAAACACTGACTCCTAGGAAAGTATGCCTGCAATTATCCATTCCTGGGATGTAAGTACGAACAAACCTGGAATATAAACTTCTGACCAGGACAGGTTCTGCTCTCCCATTCTTGACAAAGTGACTCAACTTTCTACCTGATGATTAATTTATACCACTGCCATGGTGTGTTCTGATTGAACATGATGACTCTTCAGCCAGCTAGTCCAGTGCAACATGCACAAGCAAATCACTTAAGGTTCTAGAATGTTGATCGGGAGATAACATTTCTCCAATATCCAAGTCTCCTGCACCAACAGAGTGCTCCTTCACAGCCCAACAGGCTGGCAACGGTTGTGAGGATCTTCTAAAAAAGAAAAAGAAAGGACTTCCCCAGAGTCTAGAGCCAGATTCCTGAGCCACCAGGCCAGGTGCAACCTGATTCTTGGTTCCAGATAAAGGACTGGGCCGACTGTATGAAACTGGAGTGAAACTGGGCAAATAGGTCTTCCTCAAAAAAGGTTACCATCAGCCCAAGGACTTTATTGCAAAAGCGAATAGTTGGGTGACTTTTTTTTTTTAGATTTTCAAAAGCAAAAAACAAGAGACTAACAAAAACCATAAAGAAAAAAAAAATTCAAAAACAATACAAATAAACGACATAACAAGTCAAATATAAGCAACAGACAGTAAACAATTATAGCATAAGAAATTTTTTTTTGGAGCTTTCCATCCCCCCGTTATACCAAGGCCCTTATATAACAACCAGTAGCATTCCTCCCTTCTTTCTTAGAATGTATACAAATATAATATTCTCAGATCATAAATCATTGTCTTTTCAAGATTCTACTTCATCAGGCCAAAGCTGTATTAAGAGGCTTAAATGTTGTTTGAGGGAAAAGGGCAAAGGAAAAGGTAACGACCGTATGAAAAAGGAATAAGCAAAGAGATTGCGGGGAGGAGGAAAAGGGGGGAAAAAAAAGGGAGTAGGAATAACCAGTCCCATGTTAATCTGAGATGGGTATATTGGGAAGTAGCAACAAAATGTTCCCAACAGGCCAAGATACGGGAAAATGTGTCCAGTGCGTCTCGTCAACATCAATTCTTCCATTACATGAACATGTTTTATTTGGCGAACCTATTAGAACAAAGAGGGTGGCTGAGACTCTTTTCAATGTCTCCGAATGTGTTTGTACAGAGACTGACGGATTAGAAGGTAAGTCAGTCTGACCATGCAAAAGAAAAGTCTCTGGTGAATACCTCAAGGGCATTCCAGTTACCTGGGAGATAATAGCGCGAACCCGAGTCCAATATGTCACAAGTAAAGGACAGGACCAGAAAATATGGAGGAGTGTCCCCTCGACATCTCCAACATACATTGGAAAGTTCAGGGTACATCTTGTGTAGGAGATGGGCGATTTCTGAACTGAAGAGTACGAGTCTGGCCGAGGAGAGTTTGAACTTTTGCTTCTTCTCCTCCACTAGCAAGCAGTGGGGAGCCCACTCCGAGGAACAGACCAAATGAGTTTGCAGGCCTTAAATAGCCTGCGGCCTGGACGTTCCCCACCCCTGATCTAAAGCAAATCCGCAGTCCACTCAGAAAATCTTAGGAGAATAGCAATCATCTGTTGGTGATGCCACTACTTTGCTGCTCACTGATCTTCTGAGAACCTTCTACAAAAAAATAAGCTGTACATGAAGAACTGCAGGACAATGAACTCCTTTCTCCTACTTCATTCAGTCTGGATCTGTGCTTCCACTACTACTACTACTACTACTACAGTCTACCGTTTATTATCCCCACCAGTCATCAGTTAATAAGAGGAATAGTCATCAAGGAGGTGGATCTGACAACTCCTTGAGAGAAACTCCTTCTGCCTTTACCAAAATGATCAACCCCATGTAGTTCACAGGCAACACTAGTGACTAGCCCTCAGTCCTCAAAACGGGTTCCACAGTATAGACTTTAAACAGAGCCTAAAGGCTCTTTACTGCAGCTATTTAGTTTAAGTATTGATATAAATGAGCTAAAAATCTGCATCATGCTTTGATTTCACATTCCTGAGAGTGGAAGTGTTAATTATGTAGGAATCTTAGTAATTACTGAGTTTGCAAAACATATTTCTTATATTACTTTTTATACTATACATACAGTTTATCACTTACCTTCTTTTCTCCTCATCAAAAACCAGCTCCCGTCGACTAGCTTTATGTTTTTTTTTCCCCATCACTCTTAACACCAAGACAAAATTTCAGAAGAACAAGAACTTGCTTCCTAGATCTCTAAAAACAACAAAAAACAATCAGGAACAAGTATATACATTTAGAGAGTGGAATACCAGTGCAAACTTCTCTTTTTTTTTAGAACTGAAAAGATTTGGCTAGAGTGAGAAAGAGTTAACACCTGTCAGCTGAGCTCCTTTGGCTTCTTTAAGCCTCTTCCTTTCTACATGTATTGGCTCCATCCTATTACACAATTATACATTGTAGGAAAGGGTGGAATATGCTGGTGCAGTGTGTGTTGGTGCAGCTGCACAAAGTCTCCATGTGCAGGAGAGCAATTGAGAGACAGGGCAGTTTTACCTTATTGCAAGAAGTGCCTGAAGCACTTGCCTGCTTTGGACAACGGTGGACCCTGTCTGTGCAAGGTGTGTTGGCATAGCCGCTTGTAATCTTCACCCAGGGTATATGTGAAAGTATGACAACAAAGGAGGACAATCGGGAAACAAGTGTCGCCCAATAACTGGAAGTGATGTCACCACTACTTTTACAAGGTAATATCTGGATTTGAAAAGTAATGTGCTGCACAGAAAGTGGAAGAATGGGGCTATTAAGGAGAACATTTAAATGAAGGCGTTTCTATAGGGTCTTGGCATTCAGAAAATATATAATGTTGGGGGGTTTTACGTCATTTTCAGGCCTAAAATGTGGAATATAACATGGGTGCAAAAATTGAAAAAAGGGCCTCAGTCATGAAGGGGTTAAATTTACATTCACATGTGTAAGACTGTATTCGACTGCATCAGCTGATTTGAAAAATGTTCCGGAGGGCTTGGCAGCGAAAGGGTTAAGAGTTGATCGCAACCACACTGAAGGGTTAATGGCCGAATCCTGGGGGAGATTTTAACACTTTCACTGCCACTATGGTGGAGCAGTGAATGGTATAAAAAAAAAACCTGCATCTGCGGAACTGTTTTCTTTTGTTGTGCAGCCTCTGCTGTGTACTATACAAACAATCTGGGTGTACGGCCACCCAATCACTTGTGCAAACACTTTTTCACACAGGGCCATGTGGGTTTGGATTTTGTTTTCCCCTAATAAAAACCTTCCATTAAAAACTGCATGTTGTGTTTACTTGTGTTATCTTTGACTAATATTTAAATTTGTTTGATGATCTGAAACATTAAAGTGTGACGAACGTGCAAAACAATGAAAAATCAGGAAGGGGGGGCAACACTTTTTCACACAACTGTAACTATCCAATGGAGGAATTCCGACAGCTCCAGGGGACAGTAGACCAAGGTCGAACTCTTCTCCCGAGGCCAGTGGCGGCGTGCTTTACACCACTGCATCCGACGCTTTGCATTGCACTTGGTGATGTAAGGCTTGGATGCAGCTGCTCGGCCATGGAAACCCATTCCATGAAGCTCTCTACGCACTGTTGTTGTGCCAATCTGAAGGCCACATGAATTTTGGAGGTCTGTAGCCATTGACTCTGCAGACAGTTGGGGACTTCTGCGCACTGCACGCTTCAGCATGCACTGACCCCTCTGTCATTTTACGTGGCCTACCCCGTAGTGGCTGTTGTTCCCAGTTGCTTCCACTTTGGTTATCATATCACTAACAGTTGACCGTGTAATATATAGCAGCAAGGAACTTTCACGGATGGACTTATGGTACCACGTCTGAATTCACTGAGCTCCTGAGAACGACCCATTCTTTCACAGATGTTTGTAGAAGCAGTCTGCATGCCTAGGTGCTTGATTTTATACACCTGTGGCATGGAGGTGATTGGAACACCAGAATCCAATGATTTGGACGATTGTTCCAATACTTTTGGCAATATAGTGTATGTTACATTTTTGTTATTAGTTAGGAGACTTTCTCCTAATAACAAAAACTCAGCTATTGAGTTTATAACGAATAACAAAAAGTCAGCTATTGTTATTACACTGAAAAGGACACAGCTGTTGCCCATCATAACACTGTTAAGTCTGTCGGGCAGCGATACGTCTGTAGACGGCGGCCCGCAGAAGTGGTGTTCTTGGTATCACTTCTAACAGCCGGCGATGGCTGTTAATGTACAAGTGATCATGCCGCTATATAGTTTGTACCGTGGTGCCCTCCCCTTCAGAACGGGCCCTGAATGTGGTTTTCATGCAGGAAACTCAGTTGATTCCAAAACCTAATGCTAAAGGCGAATGCAATTTGGAACATTTGTCAAGTTTCGGATGACTAGCAAATGTTCTGACGACATTCTTTTTGTACAGACGTTTATATGAGAATCTACCAGCCTACAGCCATCTTAAATTCTAACACTTATCAAACATTTGTACACACTAGTATAAACTTCACACACTGACACCTGCCTCTAAAGCAAATGCCCAAACTGGTCACAGAGAAAGTCTCATGCTGGGGATGGCAATATAACTATGTGAGCACCTGTGAAGAGTACTGGCAACAATGTACTGATCCTGGCGGGTCATCCGTTTACAGTTTATGGAAAAAGAGGGAACATTTTTTTTACAATAAAGTGACCGTCAGCTGTTTACTTTCTAACACGTGTGCAGAGCCCTCTTAGCCCGATATCAGGCACCTAATAACTCTTCCTATACTACGATAGAACTACATCTCCCAATGTGCACTGAAATTCACGGAGCTCATAGACTCAAATTCCGGAGAGTACAGACTGCCAAGGCTCCAGATAGGACAATGAAAAACCAACCAGCGACACGTACAAAACTTCAGAGAGCACCACTCACATATATGCACGATTCCGAAGAACTCCTTCAGACAAACGCCTGGTATCAACTTCCGGCTTTGAGGCTATGACGTCATAATAACGCGCCGAACTCGTGAGGCATGGGGGTGGCTAGAGCTAAATGGGTTTTAAAAGTGTGAACGTGTTTTTATTGTAGTTGGGCTACTAATATATATTAGTGTGCACGCTGCGCTAAAGTGTTTGTTTCTGACAGCTCCCTCCCTGGTTCAGTGTTCTAACACGACCGCCAGTCGTGAATGCGCAAGCAATATGTTACAGGCTTTTTGTCAGTAATGCGCATGTGCGGGTCCAGAAATCTCTCATGACACAAATATTAAATTTTCACAGTCTGCTGCTTCAGTGTTTTAAGATCTTGTCAGATGTTACGATGGTATACTGGAGTATGATTACAAGCATTTCATGAGTGTCAAAGGCTTTTATTGACAATTACAATAAGTTTATGCAGGGATCCCAACCTGAAAAAAGTAATCTCAGGGAGGTGCCCTTCTCATTTCAGTGAGGTGCCCTCTCTAACCCCCTGAAATTATGGCAGGTAGCAAAGAAGCTTTTGCTTCCTGTGCTATCTGCTGGGGTTTTTATTTATTATTCTGACAGCTGCTGCCGTCAGAATGATAAAAAAAACAGCGTAGGAGTCAGTGATGAAGAGTGGGAGAAATATTTCGTGCTCTCACACTCCCCATCCATTGCCAGTAAGGCCCACGAGAAGAACCTGAAAATTCTCACCAGGTGGTATAGATGCCCTGCAGTACTGCACCGATACTACCCGCAAGTACCAGACACATGTTGGCGTTGCCAAGCCTCCCAGGGTCATATGACTCATATATGGTGGAGCTGCCCTCCGATCAAGGAGTTCTGGCAAAAAGTGCTGGATGTTTATCACCGAGTGACGGGTTCAGTGACCCCAAGATCACCCTGTTGTCTATGATACCAGGCTCTCTGAAATCTGTAAAACGGGGACTTTTGCGGCACTTCTTAACGGCTGCAAGGGCTGTCATCCCCCGCCACTGGCGTACACCAGTTATCCCCTCTTTGGCGGAATGGACTCTAGAAATGGACCGCATTGCGGACTTGGAACGCTTGATGGTTGCTTCCCTCCCTCCTATCCATGTTTCTTTCTCTTTGAGTCTCTCTAAGTCTTTGTGTCTTTACCTGGTTCTTGTGCCTTTCACCTCTCCGTGGTGTTTTTATTTTTCTACAGCATATGTCTGTTAATATAGAATGTCCTACTCTATACCAGTATTTCCATACTGTAGGACGGTTGAATTAGCTAGTATGCCCTCCCACTGTTGTTGTTACTCTGAATGCCCCCGCAATGGTGGATGCATTAATATAGTGCTCCTGCAACAGGGGCCCTTTTTCTTTTTTCGGATTATCTATTGGGCTGACGGCATAGATTTAACGGTCCCCAACGGTTCTACTGTCGCATGTTAAGTTACTGTATCTGTACTTCTCAACCATTACTCGAGTTGTCTGGTGATGGCTGTCCTCTTGGGCGGCTATACACTGTTTATGTATATTTGTTTGTTTGTGTAAACCCTCAATAAACACTTATTGAACTAAAAACAGTGTAGGAGTGAATAGCTAGATTGTCATTGACTATTTCAATTTGCAATAGCAAGCTGGCTATTGCACCCGCCCTCTGCTGCTGTCAATCAGCAGAGGAGGACCTGATGGAGAACTTCAGGTCCACCTCTGCTGATTGACAGCAGCAGTGGGCAGGTGCAATAGCTAGACTGCGGGTGCAATAACTAGTCTGCTATTGACTATTGCAAATTGAAATAGCCAATAGAAATGTAGCTATTCATTTATATGCTGTCTATTTTTTTTACTCTGTTGGCGGCCGGCGGTTCCGATATCAGAATTAAAAAAAAACACAGACAGCAGGGAAAGGTTTACTCTGCTAGATAGAGCAGAGTAAACCTTTCCGGGAGAAAATTCATCTCTCCCGGGCAGCCGGGAGCCGCTATCTTATAGCGGGAGACTCCCGGAACGTCCGGGAGAGTTGGGATGTCTGTTTAACACAGTTTTTGCAGTGTTGACCCTTCTTATTCAAGACTTCTGCAATTTGCCCTGGCATGCTGTCAATCAACTTCTGGGCCACATCTTGACTGATGGCAGCCCATTGTACAGCCCGCGTATAAGACGACCCCCGATTTTCGGGGGATGTTTTTAAGTATAAAAAGTAGTCTTATACGCCAGCAAATACAGTAACTACATCTCTAATAAAAT